TAGCTGGATTAACCACTTCTCATTGTTTAGTGCTAATACTGAAATAACTTCAGTTGTGACTTCAGTAAAAGAAATCAAAGTCTGAGTCCTTTGTAACAATATCATTAACATAATTGAATCCACCCTTGCATCCAGCCACAGCTAAGTTCAATAGATTTTGGTATTAAAAGCTTCAAATATCTCACTTTTCAAATCACCCACTCTAACAATTTTCTGTAAATTCAAACTTTCCTGTGAATTAAATATTTGCAGTCCCTGCTTAAGTCACTAAGTTAGACCAAGCAAACATTTAAGTCCATATATTAAGTAAGTCTTCACATTTTGCAAAAATTTACTCTCATTTAAGTACAGTTTTAGAGAACTGTCTAATAAGTCATTATAAAATGAGTTACACATGTGAAAACATGGACAAAACATTTTATATGAAATAGAGGCTACGCTAATAGGCTTTAGGTCCTAGGCCTCAAATCCAGGAAAGCATAACTGCTTTAGCCCTGTTTTATCAATGATCTCCATAACATATTTCAAGTTAATCAAGTGTTTATATGCTTTACTAGATCAAGGCGCTCAGATTTCCTATTCATTACTGAGTTTAAACACAGCTCATGATGTTGCCCAGAGGACAGCAGTCCAGAACACTCACCTTTTGACCACAGCAATAAAGTGTGAAATCTTCCACATTTACTCACAAGAATCTCCCAGTGAAAATTACATTAGGACTATTGACTGCTCTTCAATCTGGTTTTCAAATGATAAATTAATAAATTAATTTTACAATTAAACATTACACTGGCAAGGACGTTATTGCTATCTGATGCAATTATTGGGTTCAGGTGAAGCCTTGGCTCCACAATAGAACCAGTAACAAAACTTCCATTGAAATTGCATTATGCTACATTAACCCCACTACTTCCTAAGAATGCAAGGCTGCCTGCAATAATAGTGACCTCTTACTCATCGTATGCTCTTCTGTGACTTCTTTTGATCCACTTTACTGCTTGTAGACTTTCAACACTGAAACATCTGCGTGAAGATCCACTGTCAATTACTGGAAAGTTGTGTGACTTTATGGAGCACCTACACAGCAATTTTCAAAAACAATACAAGCTCATAGGAGATGTAATCCTTCTTAGTGAGGTTGAATGTGGCAGTCTATTTACAACTGACAGATGGAGAGGAGGAAAGGTTGTGAATCCTAGAAGGATGCAGTAGCCAGGATTTTGAAGTACTTTATGAATTCTTACAACCAGAAATTCTGCAAAAACAAGGGGATTAAAATAAGCTGAGGCTGAGTGTCATATTATTTTAGCAGCACAGACATCAAGATGCAAGATCATCAGATTGTTTCTAGTGGGTAATATGAGATTCTGCAACTTCATCTGCTGTGAAATTTCATGAGCAGAGAAATCCAGGAGAGAACTTCATAAGAGAGTACAGAAGGCTGTTTGAGCAACAACAAAGTCTTAAGATTTTATCTTTCTAACATCTGAGAAAGAATGGTGTAAATTAATTATTTGCTGCAACATCATGAAATTATAGCTTTCTGCAGCATACAATTTTAAGTTCTGCTACAAGGCCAGACCATTTTATTGTGTGGTTGATATCCTGTTGGAAAAAATCCAAACAATAATTCTCTTTTTTGCTTAGCAAAACCATTATGTTGACTGAACCAGAGCCAATATGTATACTCATAAGGCATCTTGCCTTAACCTTATTTGTAATTTAGTTAGGACAGAACTGCATTTACAAAGCTACAGATAAGCTACAGCAAGGGCCTCATGTTAAAGTTGCTATTTTAGGGGCTGTAAGTGCACTTAAAGCTGGCTGTCTCTGAATGAAACATTGTTCTGATTCTGAAGACAGGATAAACCGTTCCACAGAAAAGTTGGCAGAGGAAAATAAATGCTATCTTTGGTTGGTAGATCAAAAGAATAATTGCTTTAGATATTTATTAGTATTTTCTAAAATCTCTAATCCAGAATTCTAGTAAGTACTCAGTTCAATTATTCCGGCTGAGGCACCTGGAAGAAAACTACTAGACTTCAACATTTACTGCTCTATTCCTATTCCTGAATCAAATACACATTTAAGATTTATTTAGCCCTTCACCCTGGGTGCAGACATGTAATCCTGAAGGACAACTCTATTTGGGTTAGCATAAGAACCCCTGATAACTTGCCATTTGTCACAGTTCAAGCCAACAGAAATCTTGTCAATGATGTGCTACAGCAGAATCGAGCCATAGGTTCTTTCATACTCTATTAATATAAATGCTATCAGTGCCTACCATCATACAATGGGCCATTTAATGTCACTACAAGGAAATAAATGCTAAAACAAATACCAAGTCATAAATATACACTCAGGTAATTACATCAACACACCTTACTGGTGGCCACATGCTATTTCAGAAAAACTGCTAGGGAAAAAAACTAACATGATAGTATACAGCTCTTAACTAACCAGAATCCCAAGAAACCTCTGTGAACTAATCCAAAATTAATCATTTACATTACAGTAAAATGCTGTTCCTCCATCTAAATACAAATGAGCTTCTCATAGTTTACACAATTGTCAAACTTCTCTCATAAGACATCTCTACACAACAAGGTCATCTGGAGAGATTAACAACTAATCCATTAATCCACTAGTTTCATACCAATCAATCCTGCAGGGCCTTATAGAAAAAGCCGAGCGCAGAGTTCTACATACTGAAGCTAATGTGCAAACATCTTCCATGAAGCCCACTTCCTCCTACTTAACAGAAACACAGTTTGATGCTCTGCATATTTTATGAAGTCCAGACTTCTCCTAAATGTGTGTACTGAAATTAATATCAAATAAACACACAGAAGAGAATAGTGCATGAGCCATTAAAATTATTTTCTGCCTTTAAACAAAAAAAAACCAAACCTGCAGTGAGCCAAAAGCTTTACATACTGTAGAATACAGGAATAACCTATAAACAGCATTAAGTGAACATTTTAGTAAGTCACGGCAGTGGCCCTGCTAGGAGCTTTTATTGTCTTTCATGAGAGCTGCATTAGGTGTCTTTGGTCTATCTACGTATTGGAATAAATAGGAAAATAAACTGTTAAATAAATTCATCATTAAAAATTAACAGTTTTTACTCTGTATAACCTATGACAAATATTAGACTGTAGAAAGACAAGTACTCTTAACAGTTATTCACTAACTAATATGATAATCCATATTATATATTACATATTCATAAACGTTTGGCACTTGATTTACATACACAGTTACAGAAGTACCAAGAAAAGACCCATCACAGACACTGTGAAGCCTAAATATCTTAGTGATAGAAGAAATGAAACGTATCAGATCAGCTTGTGCTCCCACCCTACGTGATAAACTGATGAATACACTCATATACTCGTAGTAGCTTTTGTTGATTTTGTCAGCTTAAATGATGCACCTTCAAGTATTAAAATGGGTTTCCACTTGTATTTAAAACTGTAGTACACAGTGGTCCCAGTTTTAGTTACTTTTAGCAACTACTAAATTAAAATGATAGAATTGACTTAAAAAAGATTCATACATTGCTCTTTAAAGCATTTTTTCTTTCTTTTCATTCTGATTAATAGTTTTATGTTCATGACTTCACAGTGCAAAATGAAAAATTCAACTTAGTTGCATTATGTCCTTTGCACTGCTTTAACAATAGGTGAATGTGAAGTATATTGAGAAAGTCTACTTATGAGACCTCACACTAATTCACATCATAAATTACTGGCAAACACAAATCAAATACTCTATTAACTATTGTAATTTCTTCTAGTCCTCAGGAATCTTCCCTGATCACCAGGACCTCTCAAAAACAATTGAGAGTGCCCTTACAGTGATATTTGCCACCTCCCTCAGCATTTGCAGGTACATCCTATCAGATCCCATAGGCTTGTGTATGTCCAGTTTCTCCTGATATTCCCTAAACTGCACATCTGGTCAGCGTTTCTATATTCCACCAGGGTCCCCTGTTCCTGCTGTCCCTTCCTGCATGCTTCCTTTCTGTATTTAATTTTATCAGGGATTCCTTGTTCATATATGCAGGCTTTCCGCCGCTTCTGCTCGACTTTCTGTTCACTGGGTTGGACCATCCTTGAGCTTGGAGGAAGCAATCCCTGAAAATCACTCACTGTCCTGGGCCCCTCTTCTCTCCATGACCATATTCCATGGGATTTTTCGGAGCAAGTTCCTGAACACAACAAAACCTGCTCTCCTGAAGTTCAAGGTTGTGATCCTGCTATTTGTTCCCATCTCTCAGGATCCTGAACTCCACCCTTCCACGGTCACTTCAGGCAAAGCTGCCCCCAGCCTTCACATCCCTGACCAGTTGTCCCTTGTTTGTACATATCAGGTCCAGCAAAGAGCCTCCCCTTGTAAGCTCCTCTACCAGCTATGTCAGGAAATTAATGAAATTACCGATGCCCTCCAGAAGCTCCCTTGACTGCTTGCACCCTGCTGTGTTGCTCCTCCATCACATTTCAGGATGATTCAAGTCTCCCTGTGAGACCAGGGACTGCAAGCATAAGGCTTCTTCCAAATGCCTGAAGAATGTCACCCACTTCTTGTGATCAACTGGTCTGTAGCAGATGCCCACTGCATTGCCCACCTTAGTTTCCCTTTTTAATCTTAACTCATTAGGTCTCAGCTGGCTAATCATCCGTCCTCAGGCAAAACTTAATGAGTTCCTCCCGCTCTCTCTCCTCCTTCTCGCCATGCCAGCCCATGCTTCCTAAAGAGCCTGCATCCATCCACTGCAGCACTCACTCCAGCTAGGTAAACTATCCCACCACTTCTCTGCAATCCCAATGACATCATAGCTCTGCAAATGCATGCAGGCCTTGAATTCCTTCCGCATTAAGCCAAGAATTGTGTTAAAGTCTGTTATAATTAGCATCTTCAAAATAACCCAGTAATACTGTTGCCCAAACGAATAAATCACATACACAGAAGAAATCCCTCAGCAACAGAAGAGGAAAGGAAAAAACAATCCTGTGAATTTTATTGGTATTGAGGTACAGTGTCATTAGAATTGGCTAAATATTACTTTTTTTTTTTTTTTGTTACTAAAATGCAACATATAAAAAACCATATATAAAAAACTGATTGGTCAGCTGTAAATACAACACCTGTTCACAAAAATTAAAAAAAAAAAAAAAAGCAGAAAGCAGCCTGTTTTGGACATATAACTACATATAACTTCATATTTATGGCCCAGTTCACTCAAGATCATAGGAATAGTTTTGTTTTCAGTACTATAACTGCTTTCTGCACAAGGATCCAATACAAGGGTTGTTCTTGGGCTTATAAATTACCAAAGACGCATGTGACCGGCAAGATACAGGTCTCTTACTCTTCTTCATGCTAAGAACATTGTCTTCCTTTGGAGGAGGAACATGTACAGGTTTCCAAGGAATGGGGTTACAGTACGCTGGAGCTGGATACAAACTTCCATCAGCACACCCTAAAATGTTTAGAAAATACACATAACTAAAAAGGAGTATTTATACTACAAGCTTTACAATGTAAGCAGTTATAATAATCACCTGGACGAACAAAGACACAACAGTGTCACCAGAGGCATAGATGGCATAAGAACATCACATAGTTTAAATGACTAAGTAATAAGTCTTCCACTTTTTTTTTTTTTTTTAACAAATAACTGGCGTACTCTTCATCTCTATTTAAAAAAATAAGCAGGTCGAATGCTGTGTAACATTCAGAATGCTCAGTCCTTTGTGTATTTAACAGCAGTAAATGTCTACAAATTGGCTACTTCGCATTATTTCAAAGCATTTCTAAATAAAACTTTCTGTCACCGCACAGGCAAAGCTCACATTTTTTTCATCTTTTCTTAACTGTTACTCATTTTATTGATGAGAAAAATACACTAAATATCCACATATACATTAATAATTTGCAATGAATAACGCAGGTCCCATAAAGCAGTATTGGAAAACCTAAAATGCAGCAGAAGGAACATGTTGCCCTACCAGTCATCTGTTTGTAGTGAAATTTCAGTGCATACATCATGTGGTTGGGTAAAACAAGGTCTGTAATATATTCTATTGCATGAACACAACTGAGTAGAGAAATATTTTTTAAAAATCACTTAAACAAGTGACTGCAACATAATTGATCTGCTTCACAGGAACCAGTAATTGACTCTAGTGATTCCTATGCCTGATAAGGAAAATGAGATCAAAATCAGTTATAATTTGGTATGCCACATTATTCCCTCAAATAATATCGTTTTCCTCACAAATATCATGAATGGCTATGAAAAATGCACAGAGTCTCAGAGTAAAAGCTTCTCTGACTTATACCATATGAGATATTAATTCCCATGTGCCAAAATTAGCTACTGGATTAAAATCTTTAACAAGCTTCATTTTACATTAAAAGATTAGAGGGAAGGAACCACAAACCTAAGTCACTACATATGTGTAGTGGAAGTACAAACCTGTAGACTTCCCACGTGGGAAGCCATAACCATTTAAAACAGGGCGCGGTTTATTTCTAGCATTATGTAGCCATTCCTTAAAGATCTTCTCTGATCTTGTTTTCTTCTCCTGTAGCTCTGCTTCCCTTTCTTTTTCTTTTTCCTAAAAATAAGAAAAATAAATCTAAGATACTGATAGACAAAGCCCTGTACAATATGCACAAAATGGTAAATAAATTTTTGCAAGTTCCCAGACTACTGAATATATTTCCAAGTATGTTTTCAAATACAAATACATTATGCTGACAAGTGAAAAGTTTAATTTTTTTTTTCCTTTAAGTCTGGGGAAGAAAAAAAAAAAAAACCAAACATGACCCTCCATGTTAATCCAGTGTTTGTCTGAGAAAAAGTTCTCTGAAACCTTTTGGAAGACTACATGCAGAAGATATTCTGAATGTAAAGGGCAGATGACTGAGGGCTACTGTGCTGCAGTTAGCCTGAAGAGGCTGTTGCATGTGGGACAGCCATCCACTCTTCTCATTTACCCACATTGGTCCAGCCCTGTATCAGCCACAACTGGGTCACTTCCAAGCCTGGAGCAGGTGGGGGGAACCATCCATCAGAAGAAGGAGTAAAACCAGTATGTTTAGGCATGGAATATGGATTTCAACTAAGTTTAAGTGATATTGTGAACATGGCTTTTAAGAACCTATGTAATGGAGACATGACTGAAAGAATGCATGTGGTTTAAATCTGTCTGAGGACTTTCATTTTCTTGGGTTTTAAGGTCCTTGTGCTAAAATTAATCCAAATAAACTAATGATATGTACTTGTGAAATATTTACAAATGTGTTCTGTACTTTAAGAACTGCTGTAATTACAGGGGGAATATAAATTCTTCTCACCACAATCCTCCCCCACACTCACCTACAATAGTAACCGACAATATAGGAGTAGGGTAGTACTCCTATATTACGTATTCTACTGAAAAATTATACTGTAATATTAAATTAAAATACAACCAATCAACTTCACAGATAAGACATCTGGTCAAATATTTCATAGTTTTCAGACATAATCATTATCAATATGTGATATTTCAGGGGAATTCTAGATGATTCCTGCAAGCACAGCCTTGTTAGAGCTTTTGTTCTAGTGAACTAGAGGACCTCAAAGTCCGTACTTTAGGAAGCTTACAAGAAGTAAGAGGTGTTCTGAAGCTCACTACACAAATACATAGGTGATTAATATGAAAGAAGATTAAAATTAGAACTCCTTGCATCAGATTCGTACAGATATGAAGAAAAAATGCATTAACTAGAAATATATGCAAGTATAATGATAATAGTGGTGCTGGGAGAAAAATGCCCCGAATGCCACCTATTTTCTGCCTGGGTCTCCCTGCAATGGTCTGAGTGATAAAGGTACACCATGTGGCTTGCATTTCTCTCCCTTGTCATATCACAATTCCAATAGGTTTGCAAAGACTGATTCAAAAAGATGATTCAATATGCATGTTGCTTTGCTGACCATGCCTTAATGTCTTCAATGCACTAACATAACAACTTTTGAAAGTTTTTTTCATGTACAACACTGCCATTCAATAAATTCCAATAAAATCAATCACCCAATATATTTAATATAAGTTACAGATTAGGTAACCCCATCCAAATAAATCATTAGTTTATTAATACCTTCTCCTTCCTCTTCTTTTCTGCTTCTTCAGTTCTCTTCTTCTTTAACCATTCTTTATACTTTAATTCGGCCTTTTCTTGTAACTGCATTTTTTCTAGTTCCTTTGTGGCTTTTTCTGACATTTCTTTGCTCAGCTTTCGTTCCCTTTCCCTTCTTTCCTACATGAAACAGATCAAAGAAACAGAATAGAAACTTCTCAGTACATTTTGGTCAGCAATTCTTTTGAGGGATACCGTTAACTTTGTTATATTATTACAAATAAAATTATTGTAACCCAGAAAAAAAAAATCATATTGCATGCTTTTTCAACACAGAACCTATTCATCGCTAGGTTCCAGACAAAAGTTTTAAACATATAAACTTGTCAGAAAACATGATAAAAAAATATTTACTTTCAGCACTCCTCACGCCATTATGTTTACTACTCTTGTTTCATTTATTGTCACTTTTTTAAAACACTTCAGACATTTCTCAATATTTCTGGGCAAGAAATATATGTTGCAATTCTTGACAATGCTGTGTTAATTTTACTTTTCAGTAAATCCAGAGCAAACTAAAATTCCAAATGGAAGCCAAGCAAACTGCCCCCTTCTAAGAGTCATTGAGATAGGGAGACTGTTCAGCACACTGAAGCATAAACTGATATGAAAACAAGAAGTTCACATGAGAATCCAGTTGATGTTTCACGGCATTTTCTAGTTTTTATATTCTTTATTTTATTCACATTTGGAATTACTTTATAAATCAATCTATACATTTCTCTTCTTCTAACGATGAAAGGGAAAAAGAGAAAACACATTCTAAGGTACACAAAAAGTGTGAACTGAGTGTGAACTGAAACTGCTACCTGTATAATTTGGGAGGTACAGTACACAGGTGTCATTCACTGCTACGTCTTTTTGGGGTGTGTGTATCTAACAGTACACAACAATGTTTAGGGGACCATTCTCTAAGCTAACAAGCACATATTGACAGCCTTTTCTTGATTTGGAGAAGGAGAAGTCTTCATTTGAAGACTTACAACAGCTTTCGCTTCCCTTCTATGTAACCTTTATTAAATGCCTGGGATTCTACTGATTCAGTACTTCTGCTTAGTTGCGTAGCTTGCTTAGCTCTGAAGAACCTGCATACACACACAGAGGTAAAAATCTTTACCAGACAAGTAGTGCACATGACTTGGAAGAAAGGCAGAAGACTTGACATAAAACAGTTTCCACTACACAGGAAAGAACTGCTGAATAAAAATGTTGTTTTGCTTTTAAGAAATCTTTTTATTGTATGCTTCCCTGCACACTCCTCTTAAACAAAGGAGATGTGTAGTTTAGCAGGAATGCTAACTCAGAATTATTACAGCTGGCAATATGGATATCAAATGCCTAAAACTACAACTGCAAAATACAATAAACTGGGTCTGTCATTCTATGGAAAAGAGGAAAAACACATTTACAAGAAGAGCAAGAAATACACTTCCCTTCCCATTTTACCTCTTATAAGCACAAAGAGGCAGAAAGCTAGAGTTCCACCCTGCTACCCCTGTGGGTCCCTTTCCCCTCCTTTTTTTCTAGATTTATTGCATTTTTGGAAAACCAAGTTATGCATAAGGAAGCAGAAGCCATAATATTGGAGCTGGGGACACAATTCTCTGTCTGGTCTAAACAGGCTATCTGATGGTTCAATTCCTAACCTCCATACCAAAATTTATCAGTAATCCAATATAGTAGCATCATACAGAATAAAAACTTTAGTTTATATTGCTCTGCAAAACACTAACCCATTTTTGCAATTTACTGGATGAGATGATGAGGTGCAAAAACAGGGCCAATAAAGATAAAATGCACTGCTTTCTGGTTAAAACATTTACCAAATTTTTTAAGACACAGTACTGGATAATAAAAGCTTTCATATCCACACTACATGAAATTGTCTCAATAGGAAATCATTGTAAGGATAACCTTAGCTTGCTCTTGGAATTAATTTTTTCTGAGCATGTCATAACACTAAACTGCAGACTTCTTACCAGAAACAGCCAGTTTACGGAATTGCATGAGCTAGTGTGCTCCTCTCTGTGTTTGCCAACACTAGAAGCATTACAATTTTAACATCAGCAGCGAAATTATGCCTTAACTCTGGGTTTTTTCTCCTCCTTTGACAAACTATGCCTTATAAAAAACTGTATTTACCATCATCTCTCAGGTAGATGTTTCTTCACCTACACCATGATGATACTTTACCACTGTTCTGGTATGCTCTTCAAATATTCTAATCGGACATCAAAGAGTTATTTGTGTACACACTGCACACAATTTCACAAAACAATTAACTATTAACTGTATTTTCTTGGTTGTGGGTTTGGTTTTTTTTTAATCATTTAACTTCTAAAACATCCTAGCAAACATCAGCTGAATCCGTTCTGAAGCACAGGGAAAATGGTCAGGTATTAATACACTCCAATTTCAATGCATATTCTGGAATGCAGAACTTGATACAACTACAAAATAATGGAAGTCTTAATATGATTTCACCACAGTCTCTGTAAGGCCTGTAAATGTGATAAAAAATATTATTTACAACTAAGTGATAAAAAAAAAATAAATAACCAATTGTCTAAGCTTCTCCTCCTCCTTCTAAAATTCATCTTAATCTCTTTTATTCAGACCTGTTCTTCTGTCCCTTTATTACTAAATATTCCCCACATGCATCTCTCAACAACTCCTGTTTTGAGACAGTGATAGTCTGAGACACATAAAAAGCATTAATATAGATGAGAAATTGTGGTTTGGTCCTGGTCAGCAGCCAACCACAACGCAGCAGCTCTCTCTCCCTTCTCTTCTGGCAATAAGAAGGGACAGAGAGCCAGGCTTGGGGTTCGAGATACACCCTTTATGGGCACGAGCAAAAGGCAGACTCGTTAGGGGAAGGAAAAAAGAACATACATTTATTACAGACACTAACAACACATAACAGAGTAAGACAGTGAGAAGCATTGCCGCATCCTGAGAACACCTTCCCCCCACCCCTCCCTTCTTCCCGGGCTCAGTTCTGCTCCCGATATCTCTACCTCCTCCCCCAGTGGCGCAGGGGCAGGGAATGGGGGGTGCAGTAAGTGCTGCCATTTTCTTCATCTTCAGTGGGGGGAGCTTCTGGAACTTGTTCCTCCTGCTCCATCATGGTCCCCCTCTCACAGGAGACAGTCCTCCACAAACTTTCTCCGACTTGAATTCCTCCCACGGGCCGCAGCGTTCCCCACACTGCTCCGTCACGGGTCACTAACTTCCTCCGACTGGATTCCCTCCCACGGCTGCAGCCCTTCCCGAGCTGCTCCGGCGTGGGACTCCCCCGCATGCTGCAATCCTCCCAGCGCTGAATTACAGCAGCGGGGCTGCCTTTTCCCATGAGACCCCGGCCTTCTTCGGGCACAGCACCTTGATCAACCAGGCAGAAGAACACAGGCCATAAATCAATGTCTGCTCCACTGTAGATCTTCATGGGTGGCAGGGGGGGGCCGCCCTGCCGTCTCCCCACAGGATACAGGGGGGTCTCTGCTCTGGCACACCTCCCCCCTCCTTTCTTCCTCCATCCCTCCACTGACCTTGGTGTTCATGCAGCTGCAGCAACTCCTCCTCCCAAGTCCGACTGCACGTCACCACGTCCCTTCTTAAATACGTTATCGCAGAGGCGCAGCCGATTGGCTCAGTTTCCAAACAGAAGTGGAGCTGACTTGGAGCTGGGGGAGCTTCGAGAAGCTTCTCACAGGGGGCCGCCCCGATAGCCCCCTCCCCTGCCACCAAAAAACTCCACCACTCACTCAACCCAGGACAGAAATACATGCTAAAACAATGAGTTAAAACCATTGGTGATGGAGGCTTTCAAAGATTTAAAATCTTTTGTTATTAGCTGGCTTATAAGGAAGTTACAAAAGTAAGGATGTTGGAAAACTAGAGTCTTCAGCTAAGGGTCTTTATCATATAAAAAGTATGAAAATAAATGTAGGAAAAAATGAAAAAAATGGGGCCTTTTCATACCTATGGGAATTGTTGAATAATTAACAACAATTATAAGCAGAAAATAGACTAAAAGCCTTTCTAAATACTGTAATTAAAAGGTGGGGAAGCTTCTTAAATTATGTATCTTTAATCACAATACTTCAAATGAGTTTAACCACTATCTAGGCTGACCCAAAGTTAAATTAGGTCCTATGTAAACAATGATATGCCACACACACTACCATGAAAGCCACAACTATTGCTAAGTTTTACTTTCAGTGAGACATCTTTAAGATGGGCGGACTCCCTCCAGAACTGAAGACTTTGTAGATGCCTAGAAATCACTCTGCAGACAAATCAGAAATGCTTCCCCTTTCTCTCATGCACAGAACAGCTTTTTGTTCATAAAGTTAGTGTATACCACATTCCCAGCTGCTTTAATAACCTGTTTCATGTCAAGCTCCTGTCACCCCGGCCTTCCCAGCTTACTCCCAGCCTCATTACTTTCCCTTATACAAGTCTATAAAAAATGCTAGGAATTTGCATATTAATGTACATGTTCTTCAATCCACCCTTCACTCTCCTTCCACATATACGGAGGGAGGGAAATGATATAATTTGTTTATTCCTGGTGTTGTCAGATTGGGTTTTAAAAATTCTCTTTGATCTTGGGTTCAAAACAGACATGATCTATTCACTAAACCACTAGCAAATTTACATACACTTTAAAATATGATGACAGGCATTACATAAATTAAGGTATTGATTGTAAAACATCCAATTACTCATTGCAAGAAAGGCTTGTTCTCCCGCCACTCCACCCAAGCACATTATTAAGGAGAAAAAGAATACAAATCTGGCCTGCGGGTTCACTGCTCTGGGCTGTGATCCTATCAAGCCTCAGAACCTAATGAAGCCTGGGCTAGGTCAGTACTTGGAAATCCCCCACCCAAAACAAATCCAGCCATCCCACAAAGCAGTGATGGTGACTCAGTAGGCAGCATGTCTATCTCTTAGTCAGTACCAAACCAGTGGCTCATCAGCAGAATTACTAACTTTTCAAGAAATATAAGATTTATGTGTATGTGGAGAATTGTCAAAGGAATTAAAAATTTGAAGCAGCACCCCCCACCTCCTTTCTGACAGAAGGCAGAATTATTAAATAATTTTCCATG